GAAGGTGTTCAGAATGAAGGAATTAGCATTCTGAAAGGAAGCTAGAAATAAACTAAGAAATACTGGAACTGCCAGGACTGACGCCCACGTGATATATGCTGATCTCATATTTTTATGATGAGAATGATCCAATCCCATTATGTTAGATGAAAGGTGAAAAGGAGAAAAAGTGTGTCTTTATCTTTTTGCTATGATAGAATCAGTTCTAGAACTAAAAATTTGGATCTTTCCTCCAAAAGACCTCAAGTTCTTGGCTTGAATCTCTAGGGTTAGGTCCAAGTTATGCAATCCAAAATAGTATGTTCCTGTCACTGGAGTAGTTGCTGAATTATCTGCAAAATCTGCAGCATCATATGTTCCATAAAAGCCAAGAGATTCATGAGGGCTGGATCTGGCTCCAGAACCGTTTCTTCTAGTCTGCAACTCCCTCTGCAATTAACAAATGGATCAGGATCACATCTGGCTCCCTGCTCAAGTTAGAAGGGCTGGGAAGGAGCTGCCGCTGAAGTGGGTGAAGTTTAGGAGAGAGCTTGAGCAGGGTTAGGCACAGGCACTTCGGTGTTCCTGTCTTTCCCCTTGGTAACAGCCACACAGGTGGTGACAGTGCCGGAATGCCTCAGAGCCTGAGGGCTGGTCTATACTTACCCGTTAGTTCGACGGCTGGAAATCGAACTTCCGGGTTCGATTTATCGCGTCTGGTCTGGACGCGATAAATCGATCCCGGAAGTGCTCGCCGTCAACTGCGGTACTCCAGCTCGGCGAGAGGAGTACCGCGGAGTCGACGGGGAGCCTGCCTGCCGCGTGTGGACTGCGTCTGAACCGCAGTAAGTTCGAACTAAGGTATGTCGACTTCAGCTACGTTATTCACGTAGCTGAAGTTGCGTACCTTAGATCGAATTGGGGTGTTAGTGTAGACCAGGCCTGAGTTTACGGAAGGTTCCTTCCCCGACCATCCCCTGCCTTTTCTCTGCGTTCCAGTCCCTCTTGCTGTGAGCCATCAATATCTGGCTCAGAGGAGGAATCTTTAAATCATCTTCCTCCTGCTTCTGTAATTGCCAAGTCCCACAGGTTCAGAGAAGAGCTTCCCTCCCTCAGCCCTTCCCCTTCCAATGAACAAGCACTCAGAGGGGAATGCCCCAGGGGAAGAGGGAGGAAGAGAGAAAAGGGAGGAACAGGGAGGTTGAGAAAGTGGGAGAGGATGCCAATGAGCAGAGAAAAGAAGGTGAGTGTGTGGGTGCGAGAGAGAGAGAGAAAGAGAGTAGACTTGGGAGGATGAACAGCCCTAGTGCTGCATTAATGGACTGAAGAAGAGAGGTTCCACAAAATGTAGTAATTGTCTTTATTTGCTTTATTTAACTCTGATCTCTAGGGAGGCACATTCTGCGGCCAGAGAGGACTAAAATTAGCCTCTTGTCAGGGAATACTTTTCTCCTGTAGCTCCTAAGTGAAAAGGTAATGTGGTCCTCACTACAGAACAAGTCTGACAATCCTGCCTTACAGCATTAATGATTAATATGTGTCTGGTATCCAAGATTACCAAAGGTGGTTGTAAATAGAAAAAAGCCTAAATCCAGTTTGTGTATGTATTACCTAGTAAAGTCTGTTAAATCTAGGTAGAGGTCAGCTTCAAACAAATTGATTTTCTGAACTCTTTTTTTAAATGACTACTTTCTCATTACTGCAATCCCCATGAGAACATCAAACAGCTACTTTCAAAACACCTCTGATGGATATTTAACGTCAACATTTAGACCATAACTTGAACCTAGAGTTCTTCATATGCTCTGGATCCGCCATGATGAACATACCTGAAAGTAAACTCACCACACCTGAGGAAAAGCAGTAACCTTTTTTTTTTTAAAGCTACAAATAGAAGGTATAATAAAACACTGAATAGATTCTTATTAAAAAAAATCTACTATTTTGTGGCAGGGAAATGTAAAGAAAAAAACCAAACAAATGCTATTTATTCATGATCCTACAATACTTTCCTTTTGATGCAATGTAGTTTGTCAATATACCAGTACGGAAGGAAACAAAATAATTTTGCCTATACTAAAACTGGAGTTAAAAACATCTATTTGTGAAGTGGAAAAAGATAAAATTGATACTTAAATATTACTTACAGCCTTGAAGAGGCGTTAAACAATATAATATAAATGATTTCCAAAAAACATATTATTTCTCTCATATAGGTAAAGCAGAAAGGTATTGTTGAGTAAATTAGTTTTCAGACCAGCAGTGCTAGGTTACATAATCCTTATCCATGCTTGTGGGAACTTATTCTCTCTAGTGGAGTAGTCAAGTAAATGCTTACTAATGTAAGTTGCCTACAGTAAGAAGCTATGCAAAAGGTAATCTGAACTGCAACTCACTTCTGATTTTATGGCTACTTTTAATGCTAATCATGGTCTACTCTTTGTAGAGTGCAATTAGCATAACTGAAATGTTTTATGTGGCATATTATTGAGTTTATCCATACTTATTCTTGTTTTTCAGACCTTTCAAAGACAGATTATGTTAATATATTCAAAATTCAGACTTTGTAAATACTACAAAAGTTCACTCAATCTTGAAGCATCAAACTTCAAAAGCAATTTGTCTAGTCTTTTCTTATCCTATTCTTTGGAAATCTTGTCTGCCCTTTCTGAATCCTAAGACAATAGTCATTCATTGTTCACATTTTTCCTCATGGTGCTTCCAGTATTCAACCTCATTCTGTGTTCTATTATCAAAAAAACAGACCGCTAACACTCTGGCAACCCAAGAGTAAGCATATCAACGATTGGTGGTTGCTTTCTCCAAAGGCAGCATATGCAGGGGTACAAAAACTGGGAAGATGTAAGGTAAGAAGAATTTATTATATTGGATTCCAAACACAATAAAACTTGTATCTATTCTACATCTGTGACACACACCATGAAACCAGATCTTACTTTCATACCAAAAACATTTGTGCTAAAGACCTTTAAAATAGTCTTTGGACATGTATTATACATACTAAACATGAGGCTAGCTTGGTTCTAGAGAATCCAAGCTTCCAGGAATCATACCCACTCCTTAAAAGTACTTCCTTACGCATCTAGATGCCAAGCCTCTTGGATCTTCCATAAGTTTTATTGTGTGGAACCAGTGGACAGGTTTCTTTCACATGTTCCTTCTTGGGCCAATTGCCTACTCCCTATGTGTAGTGTCAGGGCCTCTTTCAAATACAAAAGATCTTCAGGAAATAAGTTTTTCATTCTGCATTGGGAACTGAGGAAAAACTTTTGCCATTTGAAATGCTACACTGACAACACAGGTCTAGACATCCTATAAACCATATTATGGTAGCTAAGGAACCCCTAAGTATTCCCTAGCAACTTTCTATTAGGAATTACCTGGCATGCCAGTTAGCCCGTGGCAGCTACAGAGTATATTTGTGGAGTCCCTTGCTACCATGTAAAGTCTTATGGAGATTTCTATGCCCCTGCAGTCACTATACAGGCACTGGCAGTGGAACATTTTCCCGTACCTGCTGCCAGACTGGGAGGTGTCAAGCCCCTCCTGGTTCCCCAGTGACTATTACGGCTTTGAGGGAGGGGCAGTGACCCTTACCTGGTAAACCTAAAACTGTAGATTAGGGGAGCAACCACTTCTCCACGCCAAAACCCAGGAGAGAGGCTATTTGGCCCCAGGAGGAAATGGTAGATCACCCATCACTTCCAAGAAGACAACTGTCTCATGGCTTGTGGAGATGGAGGCCTACAGCTGTGCAAACAGCATCAGCTCAGATTTGTAACATCATCAACTTGAGTTGCTGTTCACAGAACTCAACAGAATTGAAACCCACCTCATTTTGAGCAGGGAACTTAAAGGAAAACTTAAGGTCAATAAGCCCAAAATTACACCTTACTTTTTAAAAAATATAAACTGCTGTATATTGTTCTCACTAAAGTCAGCATTTTTAGTTAAATAGGAAGCACCTTCCCATTCACAGAAATATTAAGTCTAAATAGAAATGCAACATCTGTTTTTTTACTTCTTACTTGCACTGGTTGTGTTGATTCCTCCAGTATGTACTTGAAAATAAATGATACACATGCAAACATAGTGACAATAGGGTGAGAATAATATACACAGTATTTATTAGATACCTTAATATTTATGGTTATATAATATTCTAATGAGGCTTAACTCTAAGTCCCTAGAACATATATTAGAATCTCATTTACTGTATTGTCAATTAAAGAACAGATAATTTAGTACTATTATATTTTGAACCAAATTTTCAAAATATGTCTGCAGAAGTGAGCATGCACTTTTCTCACACCCAACTTGGGCATGAGATACGCTTGGATACACATGTGCATATGTGTGACTGCAGAGTTTGGTTGCACACACTAGGTATTGACCTTTATGTTTGAATGTGAGGATAAAGATTTACCAATGTATTGTATCAAAGTATATATTGATTATTTATACAGAAATAGTTTAATAGATAGGGCACTAGACAGGTGAGCTGGGTTCTATTCCTTGTTCTACCACTGACCTTCCATGCAAGCTTAAACAAGTCATTTTTCCTCTCTGTGCCTCCTCCCACCGTTCATCTCTCTTTTCTATTTACATTGTAATGTCTTTGGGACTGGGACTCTCACTACCTGTTCATACAGCAGCTAGCCCTATCCTGGTTGGGGCCTCTAGACCCTACTGGAATACAAATAATAGTGCTACATGATGAACAAGCATAAGTATCTACAAATTATCTAAAACAAATTTTAATAAAATACTGTGTTGATGGGCTATGGAGAGCATTGCATCTGCACATCATGTACTAGAAGAGGAATCGCCCCACAGGAAGACTTTTGAGGGGGAAAAAAAACAGATATAAAGAAGACAAAAGTTCTCTTGAAATGATTCCCACCATCAGCACATCCAATTTTCAATTGTACGAAAATGGCTGATTCATTTTAAATTTTGAAACAAATGTTTATAATTACACATTTATGATTACAGCGTACCTGTGAGAGACTGCTCCCCACGCACCATGTTTGTTTGTTAGGATATTCAGTATCTTCTGTTTCAGCTGATTGGCTGTAACATGATCGCGATGTTTAGCAGCACTTATAAGATGGTCACACATCTTTTCTTCCTCTCTTCTATCAGCAGCATATTGAGCACACTGTGACTAAAAATGAAAAAAAAAAAAAGTGAATAGTAAATAGAATAATTTAGGAAGTGCCTACAAGTTGCTTAGGAGTGATTTTCATATATCTAAATTCTCCTTTCTACCTACATCTTAGTCACCTTTGTTCTCACCAAACTCAGCATTTCTAGGTAAATAAGAAGGACCTTACCATTCACAGAAATATAAAGTCTAAACAGAAACACAATATCCATTTTTATACTCCTTACTTGCACTGGTTGTGTTGATCCCTCCTCCAGGGGAAAATAAGAGGATTAATGCTATGTTAAGGTTTAGAAATTAAGCCATCAAATGTGAGGAAATGCATAATTACAGTGAAAACACACGTAACTCTGCCTCTTTTTGCTTATGTCTTAAAATATGGCCTCTTTTTTAGATCATTATAAATTATTTGCCAATTAATACCTTATACAATACATTATACTCTGGAATTTCTTATTCAATATTGCATACAGAAAGCTACAACACTGTACCAGACAGACTTAGCTTGACTTTTAAGTCTTAGTAAGATCTACAAAACAAGATCTTAACAGTTCACAAGTTCCGTACTTTTATAATTATGGATCTTAAAGTGGATCTCCATTACCTTTGAAATTAAATGTCTATTTCCTTAATCTCTATATGTTACAACATGGAAAAAACACCACAAATTACATACAAGTAAAAACAGTTGGAAAAAGTGAAAAGGGATTAAAAAAATCTATCAGAAATACTTGAAACTGAAAACAAAGCTAGAAATAATTATTTGATCACGTTGCTTTCAAAATCCATCTCTCAAGGAATTTCAACAATTACTGCCGTTTCCGTTATAGACTGATTGTGAAAAAGATTCCATTATCGAAACACTGTTAACTTTAGTTTCTATCTTCTAATACCTTTGTTCTCTTTGTAGCATACAGAATTATACATTTCTCTACTTTAGTCTCAAAAAGAGACTGCATTCAAATTCTCAATACTCCTTTTAGTAAGGATCTGTTTGAAAAGTCTGAATAGGGCAAACGTGTCTATGGCAATTAAAAAAAACAATATCACAGTTTTCTTACAGAGATATATCATAAAAAACTACATTATTCTCAAATTATTTTGGATAAATTGTGTTGGTTATTTAATGTGTGTGCGTGCAATTATCATTTTTGAATAAAATCCTGCATTTTGAATTAGGTGTTCTTAAGTTTATGCATTCCATAACAATTGATTGTTTCCCATTTTAGAACAAATTCAACAACGATTTAATACTACCTAAACAAAATACTATATAATATTTATTATACCAGCAGTTGCAATTAAGCTAACATTGTACTGGAGACATCTTATTGCATTTCATGAATTCAGGTGTGCATACTTCTATAGACTAGTGTTTTTATTATAGAAAATGGCAGTACTTGGTAAGATTTTAACTATGTCCTTCATCTACTGTATTTAAAACTATTACTGAAAGGCATCTATTTCAGACAGGAATTACATTACTTTCAAGGGGTTAATTCATTTTTTCAATTTATCTTCATGTACAGGGAAGCACCAATTAGTACAATGATCTGCCTCAGTAATGAGGTTAATATTTCACCAGCTCATTGGACAGTAAAATTAAATTTTCATTTTTCTTCCTGAACAATTACAGAGGCTAACAAAATGAATGTTAACTGGAAGCAATCATTCTGGAAAAACTGGACTCTTTCAATAATAGCCTTAGTCATAAGACAAAATTGACTAGTGTTAACTTTACAAACCTTATGCTTACATCTACACACCCACATGCACCCACACTGTGTCACTATATAACTTTAGTCAAATAGTTGCATCAGTAATGATACAATTGAAGTCTGAGAGGTAAAAGTGTGATTACTTGACTGGTAAAATACCTATTCACTTTTTTCCTGCAGTGAACAATAATTAGCCCGCTCAAAATAATCAAATATTTACAAAATAAATACATTTAAATATTGTTTAATAAAATAAAACTGATTTATAATTTAAAATACAGTAGATAGTAAAAAACTTTCACACATCTTTTAAGTGGGATGCATGCTAATATGATATGATGCCTATGGAATATTATTACAACATCAATATGTAAAACTGTTTCAGACTCTAAGCACCATTTTATTTTAGTTATATCTAAGATTCATACTGGTACATGATTACATTTAATTTTTTTATTTTATTTACTTAGAGATTTTTTTCTTGTCCATTTCAAACATATTTCTCAGGTTTTTCACAAGACAATAAGTATAATAAAAAATGTTAGAGAGAAATGTCTTGGTTTCCTTACTAGAAAATAAGATTGACTTAAGGCTGTTCCTTTAGGGAATTTAGTTAATATTCTAAATCTTGTTTGCTAACAGAAGCTGAAAGTTAATTGAATTTTCTCATTTTGTCTAGAGTTCTGTCAGATCTTATACCTTAACATATTCTTCAAAGAGCAGATAACTCAATCTTCTATTGTCATTTTAGGTTACTGTATGATGCCCTGATAAATATCAAATGTTATTTATTGTTGAGGCAATATGAAACTTCACTCTGACATACACTTAATTGTAAATGTGATTTTATCTAAGCTCAAAATATCCAGTATATGTTTGGTAATAAAGTTGTTGCAATCCCATCTGACAAGTGTCTGCTGTCTGGCCTGACAAAATGAAGTAAAGGTTATATGTATTCAAAATGACAACAAGATATCTCTGTGTCTTATATTTTTCTGCTAGGTCAAGGAGCACAAGAACTAGTACATCAAAGTGTAGGTTTTAGAGAGCTGCTTCGATGAGATAAAAACCTCATCAAAACTGAGATTACTGGCTTCTATGTCTTGCCAAAAGGTGCTTGTTGGCATTCCCTGACAGATGAATATGTTCATACAGCTATTTATTATCTTCAAGGCTACCAAATCAATCAAACCTAATTCTAATGCCATGCTACCCAAACATTAAAACATGCTTTTTTTTTTTTACGGTATTTTATATATGAGCATATACACACACAAACATATACACATAGGCAAAAACAGAAATAATCAAAATGTCTATATATTGAAATATCATAGATAAGCTTTTTTAATATCAAAACATACTGCCTGATAAAACCATGTTAAACAAAAAGATTTTTAACATTGTTGTATCAAAAGTTCTCAAATATATCAAAAGATATGTTTAAATAGGAAAATGAGTAATTCTATGTAAACAAAGGGAAAAAAAGTTCAAACATTCATTTAAATACACTTTTAAAAATAGTCTTTAATATTTGTACAGTATTTTGCTACAAAATACTTTAAAACACTATAGTGGGTTATATGCTACATTCCTTACTGAAGGAATGAATGATTCACTATGTACTACTTCTGTTAGTAAGGATTATTCACATTAGTAAGAGTTACAGGATCCAGCTCCTGCTTTTCATCTTCCAAAATTAAAGACAATAGACATTTCATATATTATCCTATCTCCAGTAATTACTTATTCTTATTAGCTTAGCAAGTAGAAAAGATACTTAATATCTTCCAATTTATAAGTTATACCTGGTAAATAAGATGAAAAAGTACTAGAAAGCATTGGTATTGGTAGTGAAAATACTATACTATTTACAGATCAATATTTATTATTTTTCTTAAAGCACCTCAAGTGTGCTATCCTTTAGTTTTATTTATTATACACAAAACTCACATTCTATTGATAAAATCCAGCAAAAATAATTTCACTATTAAATGTTGTTTGTTTTTTACTACTTGCAATAAAATCAGACAAGTTCTTTGTGAACCTTAAAGATCTGCCATATCAAGTTAGTAGGCATTCTGATTAAGGGGTTTCTTCAAGCTGTAAATATTTTCATGCATTTCAGTGAAGGGATGAGAAGATAAACTAGTTCCTTGTGTTTGACATTTACCAAAGCTTTTAAAAACTGGCTTTCAAATGCTTCAATGTAAATTTCTCTCTCTCTTGGAAAAAAAAAACTTTATTGTATGAGGTTACAGTCTAAGTGACGGCTGAGTGAAAACAGAAAAGCAGGAATTCATCAAATCTTGAGCTTACCTCAAATTCGGCATGTTTGTGTACATCTTCAGCTCTTTGTCGGTTCAAAATAAACTCCGCCTCATTTGCAACACGCACTATGTGGTCTTTCATTGCATGACATAATAATCTAAAACAAAATAAAACACTTGAAATCCATCTTCATATTTGACTTTCTTCAAATAAATTATTTCAATAAGCTTGCCTTAGAATGGAAAAAGTTTAACATTTACCAAATGAAATATAATTGCTAAATTAGTTTACATTAATAATGTAACTTTTTCAGAAGAGTTCATTGTAATTTCATGTATTTGGGAAAACACAGAGAAAACTCTCTACAATGAAAGAGGCCTTATGCAGTGAGTTTAGTATCAGCTAGCTAACTAAAGGAAACACTGCATACAGAAGTGTTGTACTTTGGACCTGCTTATAGTGAGACTGCAACCACAAATATAGCATGAATATAGGAACATTTTTTATTGGAACAACTGCTTAACTGTTACTGGTATTTCATCTAGCTAACTAAAATTTGAATGCCCACAGTACATATAAGATGCAATGTCTTTTTATTTTTATGTAGAACAGCTGCAAAAATCAAAGAAATGCAAAAAAAAAAAATGCACATGATATAACTGAAACTATTTGAATGCACCACTGTTAAAATACAAGTATTGCCAAAAATCAAATAATCATGAGACTCCTGCCATAAAATCAGATTATTAATTAATACATAAATCATTTTGGATTTTTTCCAATTTGCGTTTGGTTTTTGAACTTTTTGTCTGAACTCAGGTCATATTTTAAAGCTTTTCTCTTCATCCAAGAGGGCTAGAAACTCACTTTTTACAAATATGAAAGCTGAGATTAAATGAAAACAGATTTTCTCATAATCAGAGGTTTCCAGTAGCTGGGGATTTAAGAAAAATATCATGAGACTCATGATAAAATTGCAAGAATTGGCAACACTACTTGACATAATAATTGAAAAAAAACTAGATTGAGAGCTCTTTTTCAAAAATGACTATGCTCTCTCTCCCCCTATTATGGTTAGGACAAGCTCTTTGGGTGGAATTTCAAAAGTGCTCAATACTCACCTAATTTTGCTCTCATTGAAGGCAATGAGAGTTTTGTATATTTGTCCCATGGGACGGTGTCTTGACATTTTTGAAAATCTCATTAGGTGCCTATTTGCATCTTTAGATGCCTAAATATCTTTAAAATCTGGCCCTGAGTGAACAGAGAGCAGTGAGATTTATTCATGGTTATTACTAGATTAGTATTTTTCAATTTATAAAAAGGAGGATGTGTCTCAGTTTTGTGAGACTCCTGGAGAGGGAAAGAGGCTCAAGGCAACTGCTTCAGGGGATAGGTCAGTGGTACTTTACCAGAGATTTCTGAAAAACAGAATTGTGTTTAAAGTTTGTTGCCATTTCTATTCAAGGAAACGGGACTTTGTACAGTTAATAAATAAACTATGAAAATACTTTACTTGGTGTCACTGGTTTCTGCTTCAAACAGGAAACCGGCCTAAAAAGCCCCCAAATACGCTTCCATTCAGCAAAGAGGTGGCAACAACAACATCATTATCGCTCTCGTGTCTGAATTAAACCATAGTCCGCTAGCTCTTATCCAATCCCAAATTCATGTTGACACTGTGGATTTCATTCAGCTATTCTAGCTGGGTCAGATGTGATGGAGATGAAGAGCTGCGTGTCATCATCATATTAAATATACTGCAGCGCATACCAAACCAGCAGCCTCATGTACGACTTGAACAAGAGAGGTGACAACGTAGGGGAGTCTTCTCGGGGGCATCAGTTGCTAAGGAGCAGTAGGAGCAGTTGCCCCCCACAACCCCAAACTTTTCATAGCTCCCTGGTAGCCAGGCTGTGGTGTCTCCCCCAAGCCTGCAGAGAGTGCTGTTGGGCAGGCTGGGGTAGGTCACCTAATCCTTACATTGTCACAGGAAGCAGCAGTCTGGGCCAGAACTAATCACAGAACAAGCCATGCCCTGATCCAAGCCCTGCGTCAGCCATTGGTGAGACACCCACCCTGGCTCACTGTCTGCCCACATCACCTCCCTGCTCCCCCCACAGCAGGTGAGGCAGGGAGAGAGAAGCAAGTATGCCCCCAGACCTCTGAACTTTTCTCAAATGACGTCCCTGACTCCTGTGGCATTAGTATAATTGCTTACAATTACTATTTGATGTCTCTCATAAAGATAGCAATGTAGCTGGTATGGTTCAGGTCCCTTGGCGCCAAGAGAGCTGGGGTTGCATAAGGTTTTACAGGAATCACCTGGGTCTGATATCTGCATAATAGTTCACTGGAGAGTAGCATGTGAAGTCTCTACTGAGAGCTGGTAGCCCACTGGTCATCATAATGATTGTTAAATGTATGGATGGATATTTAAGGAGTTATGTATCTGTATTGCAAATTATGTTCTTAAGGTCTTGGAGTTAAGGCAGGTCACCAGGCGGTGACACACCTCAGAGCTGTTCCATTCAGGCAGAGGGTAGCAGACACCTATCTCCCTGTGTGGTCACTGGTGTATTACATACTTCACCCAGCATGGCTATTTCCAGACTGAACCATGTGCCAACTAAGTGATTGTGGAATATAGAAGAGAGGAAATCTACAGGAAGAAACAGTCAGCAGGAGGTGTCCTGTTTATGATATATATCTTGGAGTACAAAGAGATACAATGACTACTTCACCTAAAAGGCAAACAGACAGTGTATTTGTCTCATGAAAGAACAATCACAGCCAGGCGGGCTGTAAAGCACTGCAAGGATTTTGGTGGGCAATAGCCTACCCTACTAGACACGAGAGGATCTTGTTAATTAAGACAAGGCTCTAGAATGCGTATTATGATTTTATTTTACATATAATCATTTGTTTCCAATATTTCTACTTCCTACTACTTGAATCTCTATTATTTGTTAAATAAACTTATACTTGATTTCACCATAAACACATCTAAGTGCTGTGAGTTAAGGGGAGTGGTGACCTGAGGTGGAAAGCAGGGTTGTAACTGTTTCTTTGGAAGCAGCATATTGGTGAATGCTGAGTGTCCAATGAAACAGGAGGTGGGCACTCCAGGGAGATGATCAGAGGGCTCAGATGTTGGACTGTGCCTATCATTACCCTGTAGAGTGACAGCGCCTCCTACGAGGCCTAGAGGGGAGTGCTTGTGTTGCCTGTGGCCAGTGGAATCAGGCAGCTGACACATGGCAGGGACAGACAGGGCTTCCTCTTGCAAGTGGTAGCGAGGTGCCTCACAACCCTGGGCTCCCCCAGGAAGCATCACAGCAGGATCCTAAGATTGTCCACAAATAAAAAAAATGAAATTGCATTATAAACAGCATCAAAGGCTGCCAACAGATCAAAAGTCATCAGTGCCTTCATCTGCTGCTAGTAAAAGATCATAATTAATGCACACACAGATCATACACAAATGCAAGCAATGCAGTTTGTACCCCATATATAGACCTGTCACCAGACTGACCAGGGTCAAAGGAAGTCTGAAGAATAAAGATACTGCCAGAAATTGCCCCAACATAATCTTTTTGGTGACTTTAACCAAAAATGGGAGATGGGATGCTTGTAGGGAGTTACACAGATTATCAGCACCAAAAGTAAATTTACTGTGCATATGGCCTGCAATGGCTTCTTTAAAAACTGAAGGAAAGGTGCCCTCCTCCACTCCTCTTCCTGCTAGAAAAACTTACAATATCCCTTATAAGGGAACCAGTTATTTCTGGTGTCTTTTACAGTCCAGGAAGGACAAGAATCAAACCCACACGTTGTAGCATGAAATTGCCCCAGCACCATCATATCCTCAATGAATAATACCACATGAAATTAAAGCAGAGAAATCATCACATTTGTATCCCCCAAGACACTATTCTGTTTCCACGGCAGTAGATAGTTCAGTCCAAATTCAAGCAATCTTGTCTGCAAAGTAACATGAACACTCTTTTACAGCAAGAAAAATATGACACAGCAATCAGGTGAAGACAGCAATACAAATGCTTCAGGGTTTAAACCTCATGCTTCAGGTTTAAGATGATCTCTAACTATTAATGATCAGGATGAAACCTAGTGTGTGCATGGGGGGGGAGGCAGATTATCCTACATGTACCAACTGTGGGGTCCTTACATCTTCCTTTGAAGCATCTGGTATGGGATGCTGGATTAGATGACCCTTGTCTCAGATTCAGTACTGCAATTTCTGTGTTCCTATGGTGTAAAGAAGCCTTAGTATAAATGAGAACCAGGTCCTTTATCTGTGCAGGATTCTCACTCTTAAGAGTAAGTAGAGTTTGCGGGGGGAGGGAAGAGGCATGTTGCAATATAGAAAGAACTATGATAAAATATAACAAAAAGCAGTCACTGTCTAACAAAAACTATTTTTTGTAAATGAAAAGAGCCTAATAAGAGTTAATAGACAAAGTCTCCAGGAGTTGCCAGCTCTCAACTGTTAATTTTCAGAAATATACAATTCTAAAAGAAACAAAACTCTAGGAGAGTTTGGGCACCTTGAAACCACGTACTGCAGTATCAAGAGACCAAACCAGGCTGGTCTTGAGATGCTTCATATGTTTATAGGCAGGGCTGGGTGGTTTCCTTATATGTGTCATAAATTGGAATATCCCTTAAGGCTATCAAATGCAGTACTTCTGCCTCAGATAGTATGAGCCATGATATGACCTCCTGTAAAAAAGGCCCCTGCCAGCTCTTAGTATGATAGTAAGAAATACAGTTGGACAGCTAGTTAGACATGATCACTTTTGTGACGAAAGTGCCCATTGAGCAGATGTCAAATGAAAATAAAAGAGTCTAGTAAACCTTTTAAGGACTTTAGTCTGCTCCAAGTAGAAATCAAAAGAACTTTTAACATTGAAAAACCTTATCAGGAAGGGAATCTGAGCACAGGAAAATGTTGGCAGGATGATAGGCTCATTAAGATGAAAATATATCTCCAATTTAAAGAGCCCATAGCTTGCTTGTAAAATCTAGTCTAAGGTGATTCATTCACTAGAGTCAGAAACTCATTCACACTGCAAGCTAATTGTCACCAGGCAAATGAGCTACCATTTAAGAAACCTGAGCTCACACCTTATACAT